TATAGAATGTGGTCTCCCTTACTGCCTTCCCCCTCTGTCAATCCCCCCATGGTTGATGCTCAGCTGTAGTTCTGGCAAGGAGTCTTTGAGCTGTTTTTTCCTTGAGTCCCTCTGGAGACTCTCTTTATATCCCGCTAGATAGGAGACTCTGTGATTAGTTCTGGCCCCAGGAAGGACCTTCACAGCTCTCTCTCTTTTTGAACCTTTCTAGTCTTTCTCCCTGATCTTGATGCCATTGCATTTATTCCAGTCTTCACTTATATGCACAGGTTATGCAGATCTCCACCATATATAGTATTCCCTTTCACTTAACCTTTCCTTGCTCTGTTAAAAGAAAAAAAACCAATCCTCTCAAGAAAACTGTGGATCCCTTTGTCTATAGCCCCTTTGTCCTTTGGGGCAGCTTATCTGTCCCATGACTCTGGAGGCAGAAGGCACGATCTTGAGGTGTTTCATTCGAAGTGAACCCTTCCTGTTTTCTAGGCAAATGTTCTACCATTGCTATGGCCCTTTTAGACAATTAATAGGTATTTTTTAAAATATTTTCTTAAAAAGCAGTTCTTTCCAACTGTGGTTATCATTTGGAACTCATTGACTCTCCTTCTCAGGCGGATTCTTTACTTGGGTCCTGTTGTAGAACTCCCTCATCACTCTACAATTTTCCCCTATGTCATTTGCAAACAAAGCCTTGCAGTTTACTCTCAGCTGTAAAAAAGTCACTGATCTAGTAACTTTGACTCTCTGACTTTGCTTTTCCAGAAGTTTCACAAGGAGACAACTGCCCTGGCTGTCTCTTCATGCTACTCCTTCTGGGTCTTTCAGTTTGGGCATCAGTCACTCATTACTTTCAAGTCCCAAATAGCATTCCATTGGTCGAATAAGTTTATGTTTGCCCTCCTAGCACCGGATGAATATCTGCATTATTACTGTTTGGAAACTAGTAAGTGAATAATATTTCTACAGAAATTCGCACACATCTTTGTGAAGATAAGCATTTCATGGGCATGTCCAATGGAAGTGAAATTTCTGGGCATACTCGGTGCATGTTTAATTTTTAATCAACCAACAAGCTGCTTTTTAAATGGCTGTGTTATGATGCATTCTCACCCATACTGGGTCACTGTTTTGTGTCCCGGACAGATTTTGTTATCTCTCTTCATCGTACACATTCTGGTGACTATGCAATGCCCTTTCTTCTGTTTTTATAGGTTTTGTTTTTATTTTTAATTTTATGTATGCACATATAGATGAGTTGTGAGGTTTCTGACAGAAGAGGGCCTCCAATGCCCTGGAACTAGAGGTCCAAAGTTGTGAGCCACCTTCAGTGGGAAGTGGGAGCCAGAGTGGTATGTGCTTTCAATGTTCGTGTTAACTTTCTGGCCCCGGTTATCTCATTTCTTAATTACGATAATGAAACAGTTTTGAATTGACTCCAAATAAATTCTTCTATATTTTCAAAAATCAAAATAGATACTGCTTTATTTGTAAGTTACCAACATTTTCTTAAGTGACATTATGAGAGATGTTCAAAAAAACATATATACTAAAATGAGATTATCACCTTAGAAATATGGATACGGTTTATGAGGTATGTCCCGTTTTTTTCCCCTCTTTCCTTACCGAATTGCTTGTTTTCAGTTGTGGAGCCTTTCCTGATGTTAACTGCATGGGGCTCTCATCCTTTTCTGTGTCAGCTTCCCTCTTTCATGTTTAAGTTTCTTGCTCCGCAGCAGCAGATGTTGCTGACTCTTCAGCTGCGCGTGCATGGTGTCTGAGGCAAAGCATGAAGGTGAGTGCAGAACTGAAGCCTCTTTCCTAGGAAATTTGTCCGAAAATGGAGACAGGAAAATTGCCTTTTTCCCACTGAAGTTTCTATTTGGGTGATTTTTATTGGCTCATAAAAATTTTGGAGCTTAAGCAGACCTTAAACACCATCTTGTCTGTTTTATTTTAGAAGTGTGAGGCATGGATCTTAGCATTGTATATTAGTAGATTTTAAAAGGGAAAGTCTTTGAATATTTCTACTATTTCTGTGCTTTCGAAAGCTTATTCTTGAGAATAAATATGATAGGGTGAGTCTTTATCAATGAGTATGCTTGAATTACGTTTTAATATCTTAATGTTACTTCTTGTAATATGGCTTTGGTATTCTCAAGGATGTAAGGAGTTCATTAGAGAATGTAAAACACAGAATACAATGATTGAATGTAGACATCTGATCTCTAGCATGTAACTGAAATAACAGCATGTCTTTTTGGAAAACAATAAAGAAAATCTTCTCACTAAAATAAAATCTGTATTTATTTAGGAATAAGCAAACATATCCTTTTTATAGAAGATTCCAGAGTGGATAAGCATGAATATGTAACCTTGAAGTTATGAAAAAGACAACACAACTTGACTTTCTGTTTGATCCTCTTAAGTTTCTGTTTTAAAAAATTAAATGTGGTAGACCATCTGCCATCTGCTATAACAAATCACCCAAGTCAGGCCACCAATGAAAATTTTTAAAAAATGGATTTAACCCACACTTTTAAAGGTACAAAGGCGTGTTGCTGGTGTTAACTCAGATTTGGGAGGAAATTCTCCCTTTATCATTGTGCAAGGCCATGGTAGAAGCAATTGTTTAAATCACATCCGACACCAGGGTAGGGTCAGGGTGAGGCTTTGGTAATAGTTCTCTCCAGAACTAGCCAGAATCCCACTGGAAATGACCCAAGTCTTTGGAGGGCATGCCCTGCTTTACTGAGGTGCTCTCGCTAAGTCCAATCTTTTGAGGACTTCATCATCTCTATGCATCAAGTCTCCTAGGTCATCATACCTGCATAGGAACATACAAGGTGAGAGACAGCACCTGAGCCATAAAACAACCCTGTAGAATGTAGAAAGGAAGACTCTTAAGGGCTGATTTTAGTGACAGCAAGGAAGGAAAAGCATTTTATCCATTTTACAGGTAAGAATCTCAAAGGTAAAATCTTCCCCAATATTCATCCAGTTAGTGACTATAAGAAATGGTTATTTACCAGGAGGGAATTCTCAGAATAAATAGGGAAGCTATTCACATGAAGCAGAAAAGGACCCAACTTCCTGCTGGAAACTAAACAAAGGACATTGCTTCGCAAGCTTCATAGTGGAAGCCAGAACCTCACTACAGGGTTGTGCTAGCTAACTCCCTAAGTGTTTTAAGGTGATCTTTGTAGTGAGAGTCCGTTTGTTTCTGTGCTCTTCAGTCCTCTGTGCTATGTGTTTTATTCTGCAATGGCTCACAAGGTAATTAAGGGGCTTTTTACCACAGCATTGCTGGGAGAGGAAAAGTCAGGAGCTCCTCCATCAGCCAAGTGTGGTTCATGCCTCGGCCTGAATTAATGATCATGTCCCTGTACCATGCCAGGGACAGAGACAGAGTCCGAAGGGACAAGAGCAGTAAGCAGAGTTAGGGGACTCTTTAAAGATGCTCCAGGAGCAAGCCCTACTGAGCTTGAATTCGAATGACATTAATTTACTGCAGTCAGGTGCTTCCGTGCCATGGTGATTGGATGCAGGACGGCAGATATATAAAAAGATAAGCAAAGCACACACACAGAAGCAAACACAAAATAGAACTGACATCTACTGACCAAAAGTCAGATCTCAACAGAGGAAAATTGTTTTAAAAAATGTCTACTTTGCCTGTGAAAATAAGGCACTTTAACATTCAGTTCTCCCAGCAATTGAATTATAACAAACCAAACTGTAGCCTATGTGATTTGGAGACCGATGATATATTAAAATAAAAAAATGTCAATTTTTGCTTGAGAGGTAAGTGATGTGAGCTTACAAATTCATACCTTTTAGTCCGGCATGCTTGAAATGTCTGGAAATAGAGGTAAAGGTCTTTGAATGACAAGTGTTGCCCTGTGCAGTCACGTCACCAGCCAGGTGACTCTCAAGGTGCCTGCGTGGGGAGTGAGCACGGTGTTTCTGTGCAGGACTTTGGGGAGCAGCTGTCATGCCAGTCACCTGAAAAGTCTGTCCCATCATGGACTTGTCTTTTTCATTAAGGGGATTATTGATTGTTTTATTTTTCTCCCTTTCCTCGCTTAGATGGTGGGACTATAGCTCATGTTCAGTGATTAATGAAGAAGTTTATGTGCATTATTCAAAAACATTGCTATTTCACTTATCAAATCCTAGCTTTAGCGTTCTCATTTGTTCTGATAAGCAGATCACTGGTAAATAGTTAAGGATACGAGCATAGGAGAAAGAAGTCTGTGCCCTCCTACCCGACATGCCAGCCCCATGTAGCTTCCTGTGATTTCCTGCATCGAAGGATTGACTTCATGACATTCAATTAGTCTATTCTAATTTTGGAGAGTTGCAATTTCTGAATGGTTTCCTGCCAGCTCCTATCCCACATGTCCTAGCAAGGCAACAATTATCAAGGAAGTCCAGTTTGCATGTGACAGTTATTATCCATGGAATATTCCTTCAAGAGCACTATCGTGTTCTTATACTTCAAATTTTTTGACTATACTTTCTTTATGTAACATTTCCTATCCTGGAGTTGCTATAATTTACATAAAATAATGTTATTAAAAGTCAAGGTGTTAAAGAAGAATAATCACCACAAACACTCTGCGATGTTTGGTGTTAGGATTCATTTAGCTTTATTGACACTGAAAAAAACTAAATCACAACTTAGCATCTTTGAGAATAAATGTGGCCTGGCAGACTAGAGCATGGGTGAGCCAAGGATGCTACTTGTACATGGTGCCACATGTTATTTCCTTGTGTGACCTTGTGCAGCCTACTTAAACACTCTGAGTTCAACCTCCTCATCCTTTCATGTAAATTCTGTTCTCACTATGATCCAATGCTCTGAGGATTGAGTTATGTGATATTTGTGAACTGTTTAGTATCTAAACTAAGACAGCACAATCAATCAATAAAGATATGAGTCAATATTCTGAAGCCTTAAATAAGATTCAATTTCTTATCTTGGACCATAAAAATCTTTACACTGACATTAAGATATTTTTTATTCATCCTAATTCAATTTCACCTCTCAACTTTTAGGATTCACTCATTCTTCCAACATTGTTCTTTTTTAGGATCATTGCTATCATCGAAATGATAGAGAATGACCTCTATTAAAATCTTGAATTTGAGAAGAAACTTAGAGGTTCTGAGAGAATGTCCCATCAAGTGAAACAGTCCAATGTTAAAATTATTATTGGGTTTATCCGTGTATGAGCCATTACCCGTACTGTTTTCTTCTTTTTCTTTGTGACCTCACCTGCAGGGCTTTCTTTAATGTTTAATTACATTTGGGGTGTGTGGGGGGTGTGTGGTGTGTGTGTGTGTGTGTGTGTGTGTTTGTGTGCGTGCATGTGTGCATGTAATTGTGTGCACATGTGTGTGTGCCCGTGTGTGGTGTGCACATGTGTGTGGAGTTGGAAGACTACTTGTAGAAGTTGATTATTTCCTTCTGCTAAGTGAGCTTTGGTAATTGAGCTCAGGTTGCCAGGTTTGGTAGAAAGCAGCTTTACCTGCTAAACCATTTAACTGGCCGTTAACTGCAGATTCTGTTCATTAACATTGGAAACCTTAATACAGACCTGCAATTGGCTGACATTGGAGCATCATGTTCTTGAAGAGCCAGGTGTTAAACTGTTCAAAGCTTTGATGCAGGGCTGATTACAGGCAGGTAAGGCCTGTTCCTTAGAGCAGAAGGAGAGCTCCTGGTTCTCTTTCTGGATTAGCTATCATACTCTTAGTCAGGCTGTTGACATCTGGAGAGGTCTTGAAATGTGATCACAATGATGAGGGTTAGAAGGACATCCCAGGGCACTGTCTTCTTTGATTGAAGGCCAAGTGCATTGTTTTTACTCAATTTCCCAGTTCTTTCTGCTTTTATAAACTTAGTAGAGACACTTCTCGGCCTGGAGGGATTTGCTCTTCATGACCCAATTTGGGAGCTTAGTGATCAGCAGTAATTTTTCACGTTCCTTGCAGATACCACAGCAAATGAACTCTGGTTGTATTCATCAGATGTCTGCTACTTGACAGCTAAAAACAGACCAAATCGTCCCAGGGCTAACAAAAACAGCCAGAGCCCTGAACAAACTAAAGGAAAAAAAAAAACAAAAAATGAAAAAGAACAGTCAGCATTCTTTCTAGAAAGATTTAGAATAAAGTCGCCAGTGCTAGCTCATATTTTGCAAAAGTGTGTGTTTATAATCTCTATAAACTCTTTCCATACCTTTGTTTTTGAATTTGCGTAAGTTTAGTACTTTTTATTTTTATTTTTACTATTTTGAGCTGTACCAAAGAAACAAAAGCAAACAAAGCAAGGCTCAGTATACTTTTTGGGGTGGGATGTGTGATTAAATAGCTATACCTGAGACATTGTTCCTCTTCCTGCCTCTCCTACTCTAAAGAAAGCACATTGATTACACAGTGGCAGCCACTAGAGACAAAGCCAGAGTGTCTAGAAAAAATGAAAACACATTCCAAGGCTCAACCACTTAACTTGTTGAGACTTAAATACCCTGACTCCACAATTTGTGCTAGCAGATGGAATATAATTTTGTAATTAGCAGTGTGTACCCTCCTAATATGATGGCGTTTCCTGTACACTCAATGAATTATGCAAATCTCTTTACCTGCAAGCTTATGTTTTACGTCTCACCTCATTACTAAATATCATGCATGGCATAGTGTTCACTCTGAAGACAATGCAATTAAAACTTTCAATGAAGTAATCAGTAGGCCACAACAAGCAGGCATTCCTGAATCTGCAGTCACACAAAGTAAGAAGTAAAAACTCTGCTGCAGGTCTTGGGAGAAGCAGACTGGTTGATGGCAACGTGAAACCACAGACCTGAGTACAGTGGTGTCCCTGTGCTGAGCTTGCATTGACAGCCTGTGACCAAATGGCTTCTGACATTTGTCCTGGATTGTACATACATTGGGGCCTGTGGTATATTTATTCTGCATTTATTCTTTGAGAGAACTAATCATATTCTTTATATATTACCAGGCATGCTATATAGTGGGAGGGCCAGCTTGTTTGTGGGTTTCTGTCCCCCCCCCCAGTCCCCCAGCCGTTTAGTCCCAATAAAAATCACACAGGAATCTCTATAAGTTATAAAGCTGATTGGCCCATTAGCTCAGGTTTCTTGTTAACTCTTATAGCTTATATTAATCCATTATTCTGATCTGTGTTAGCCATATGACTTGATACCTTTTTCAGCTGTCAGCTCACATGATGCTTCTTCGGTGGTCTGCGCAGGAATGGCGGAGGGAGCTTCCTGCTTCCCAGAATTCTCCTGTTCTCATTGTATCACCTCTACTTCCTGTCTGGTTTTCCTGCCTATACTTCCTGCCTGGCCAATCAGCATTTATTTAAAATATGATTGACAGAATACAGACAATTCTCCTGCACCAATGCTATATAACTGAGGTAGAAAGAATATGCTCATAATATTAATACAAATTAAATATGTTTATAATCCACAGGTAATTCCATAGTAAGCATTTAAACTGTTCAGTTTCTTAAAGGGCTTTTTTTGAGGCATAATCCAAGAATTGCAAAACTAGCCATCATTTTAAAATAATTTAAGTGGCTATTATGTTTTGCTTCTATGTATGTTTGTGCACTTCATTCCTTCCTAGTGCCCACAGATGCCAGAAGAATGTGTCAGATAGCCCAGAACTAGAGTTACAGAAGTTTGTGACCTGTTATGTGGGTGCTGATCTTGGTCTTGTGGAAGAGGACCTTAACCAAAGGCACTTAACTGCTGAGCCCTTTCTCTAGCTCTTAAAAATAATTTTAATAAATTTTTACATTTTATTTATTTTATTAAAAGAAAACAAACTTTTCATTTTACATATCAATTCCAGTTCCCACTCCCTTCCCTCCTCCCATTCCCTCCACTTACCCCACCCCATTCTACCCCGGGTCCACTCCTCAGAGAGTGTAAGGCACATTGCTTTGGGGAAGGTCCAAGGCCCTTTGTACTTATCTATGCTGAGCAAGGTATCATCCAAAGAGAATGGGTTCTCAAAAGAACTAGTACAAGCAGTAGGGACAAATTCTGGTGCCACTGCCAGTAGCCCTTCAATCTGCCCCAGCCATACAACTGTTACTCATATTCAGAGGGACTAGCTTGGTCCTATGCTGGTTCCTTCCCTGTCCAACTAGAGTTGGTGAGAGACCGTTAGCTCAGGTAAGCTGTTTTAGTGGGTGTGCCCGTCATGTTCTTGACCACTTTGCTTGTATTCTCACTCCTCTCACTCTTGAACTTGTGGGAGCTCGGTCCAGTGCTCCAGTGCAGGTCTCTGCCTCTGTTTCCATCAGTTGCTGAATAAGCCTATATATAGTTCATGATCCTCGAGAAGCTAAGTAACAAGGTGAACCCTAAGAAAAACATACATAGTTGCCCCTGGAAAGTCGAAATAGACAAAGATTGCCTGAAAAAAGTGAGAGCATGGGGGTGGGGAGAGTAGGGAGGGTGGAAGGGAAGAGCATGGGAGAAGCAGAGGGAGGAGAAGAACTTGAAGGAATGGGACAGTCGAGATGGAGGAAGGACAGAGATGAGAGCAAGGAAAGAGATATTTTGATTGAGGGAGCCATTAGGAGCTAACAAGAAGCCTTACGTTTTTATTTTTAAAACAATCTATTTACAATTATTTCAGGTATTTTTTTGAGATTATGAGACAATTAGATTATTTCCCCTTACCCTCTCCTTCCTTCATACCTTCCAATATATTCTTCCTTACTCTCTTTCAAACCCTTAGAGTCTTATCAGCATGACTGCCCAAACATGAGCTGAGGAAAGACAGTGACAGCCAAATGTTCGGGTGGACAGCTGAAAGCCTAGGAGACCTCCCTGAACACAGTTGCTTTAACTTTAAAGCAGAGAGAATAGTAGAATCATCACAAGGATCCAATGAGAATTTGCCTTAAAACCCATCAGATAGTTGAACACACAATACATAATAAATCCTCCAAGCATGAATATATCTGTCCTTCAGTTTCCATTTCTTTACCTACCATAAAGAAATAAAAATAAACAAAAACTAATCCGTGACTGGACAGTTCTTTTCTGGTGTGTTTTCCTGTAAAGAGTATTCATCATGGAGGTCAAAACAGCCTATGAAGTTGAAATGATCCGTATTTAGGGTCAAAGTATTTTGTTTTTCTGAGATTAGTGCTGTTGGAAGTATAGACTCTTTGCTTGTTGTTTGATTCCTATATTGATGGTGCCTTCTCTTGTCCAATCCAAAATAGATAGAAAAGATAGATAGATATGGACAGAGATACATACGTACTATGAAAATATTTAGTGATTAGCTTACATAAAGATAGGCAAGGTTTCTGAGCCGTGTTTTGTAAGAACAAGTGTACTTCCAAGACTATATCGTTCTCACAGAGTTGCAAAAAAAGAGAGTTATATTTGTCAATTTGATCATTTTTGCTATATGGCCAGTTCAGTTGATTGTGTCTTTTAGGATAACTGTTATGAAACCAGATCATCAAAACTGTATATAAACCATCATGAATTCAAGGGAGACCTCTCTTTTAGACAAGGATTCTCTAAGAAAACAATAAAATGTATTATATTATTATTGCACTCACTGTAGAACTATTAAATGTGTGTGTATATGTATATACACATATTTGTGATGTACTCTGTTTAGCTAGCTCCTTTCTTAACCTCAATCAATATTACATTTATCATTTTCATATTTGTTAAGAAGACAAATTCAATTTATTTTATGATTTCATTTGGAGTAATTAATAGTTTGGTAAATAGGGTGTATTCAATATGTATTTCTTGAGGATCCCAGTGGATCAGTGTCTTTCTCCATCTACACACACAAAAAAAAATTAAAAATAAAATAAATGCTAAGACTGATATACTTGGATCTAATCTAAGTGGGAAGTAGAAAAAGACAAGATCTCCTGAGTAAATTGGGAGCATGGGGACTGTGGGAGGGGATTGAAAGGGAGGGGAGAGGAAGGGAGGGGAGCAAAGAAAAATATATAGCTCAATAAAATCAATAAAAATAAAATGAATATTTTTATACATGCAGGCACATATTTCTACAGACCATCACAATTACATTTCTATAACACAATTCCTTACCAGAGTTTGCATTAACTAATTGTTGATCAGTCTCGAAGAAGACAGACATTTTCTTCCTTGTATTTATTAATGAGTTCTTGTTTGCTGTAGTGACAAACCACAGCATGAGATCATTCTGGCATTGGTGTTCCCTGAGCATCGTGTAGCCCATGCTGGCATTGGTGTTCCCTGAGCATTGTGAGGCCCACGCTGGCATTGGTGTTCCCTGAGCATCGTGAGGCCCACGCTGGCATTGGTGTTCCCTGAGCATCGTGAGGCCCCACGCTGCCATTGGTGTTCCCTGAGCATCGTGAGGCCCCACGCTGGCATTGGTGTTCCCTGAGCATTGTGAGGCCCACGCTGGCATTGGTGCTCCCTGAGCATTGTGAGGCCCATGCTGGCATTGGTGTTCCCTGAGCATTGTGAGGCCCACGCTGGCATTGGTGTTCCCTGAGCATTGTGAGGCCCATGCTGGCACTTGGCATCAAGGAATGCTGCGGCAGAATCAGGGTCACCAAGGTCTGTGTTTCTGGAATTTAGAGCAGTTCTAGGCTCTGGTTGTAAAGCACAGCCGTGAACACGGGAACTGAACTAGAAGCAGGTAATAAGAAATGACCCTAATGAACTTAATGTAGGTTTTGATTTATTATTATATTTAATAAAACAATAAAGTGAGGCCAATAGATTAGGGACCATTACTACCACAATAACACTCAAAATATCCAAGAGATAGCATGTGATTCTACACCGTGTGTGTGTGCGCGTGTGTGTGTGTGTGTGTGTGTAAAAACACTGCCTGTCACTGGGCAAAGGGAATAAGCAGCAAATGTGTTCAAGAGACCTCATTGCATCTTTGGACAGGCATGGATGGGGAGGCCTGGTAAGCAGGCTGAGCATGTACTAGTTTGAATCAACTCCTGAGGCCTTGGGTGTAGAACAGTGTTCAGTTCTAGGCTCCTGTCCTCGGGTGGTGGGTGCAAGGGGATACAGCTGTGATATGAGATCTTGGTAGTGGTGATGCTCTCTGCAGAGGGAGCTTCTTTACAGAAGGCTCCTTTACAGAAGGTAGACATTGCCATTTCTAGAACAGACAAGTTGTGGGGCAGGAGCTTCAGCTCACCACTAATGTTCACTGTAAGTTCAGTGGACTCCAGAATGTCGAAGCATAGGAATGACAGAGCTTAAAAATGTGATTGACACACTTCTGATTCTTAGTATTCTTTCCACGACGCAGAGTGATAATAATATTACTGCTATTTTAAAAGCATTTATTTAAAATTTGTGATACCATAGAAATCAAGAAATATAGAATATCATTGATGAAAATCTCTGTTCTTATTAAGATGCCTTCAAGACATTACTTTAGACAGTTTTTTGGGAAAAGATAAAAAAAATCATCAAATACTCCGTGCTTGTCCTCAACTCACATTAAGATAAACTGGAAGCTGCTCCCTGGGAGAAAAGCCCAGCTGGGCACACAGGATGTGGAAGCCCCGAGAGGTCAAGCCAGGGAGAAACTCCGAGATAATAATTTCAAACTTCAAATGCTAAGGTGACTCCCATGATTTTCCTTCTGTGAGATATCCAAACCCCCACCAGGTTGGATGCCATTCCATCAGTACCAACAGATGGCACCAGTAGTTAGCAGAGAAGGGTTACAACTCCAGCTGAGATAAGCAGAGAGGATTAGAGAGTCCCAGCTACTTGTGAGGCATTAAGAAGCTGGGATATTTCGGATAATGTCATTTTTATATCCTTACCTAAGCCAAAATGCTTACACCATCTGTTTGGGATGCTCAGATTTTCTCCTCTGTCATCATAGGAACACACTCAGAAATTTAAAATGTATTAATTGCAACCCATGTTGGGGAGTGCAGATTGCTTTTGATCTCTCCTTGCTCATTTGATTTTTAGGAGTACTAAATAACAAATAGCAGGTTGGGGCACAGTCATCCCTACCCTTAAACTACATGGAAGACCAGGTATATGCATCCATGCTCGTACATCCATAGCCATCCATACACACATGCACATGTACACACACACAGACATTCACTCATCCATTAGTAAACACATATGTAGACATACATATAAATACACTCTGCCAATCTGAGAAAAGAAAGTTAAATATCCAGCAAAACAGTTTGGGGGATTTGTTCACCCTTCCCCTTCTAAGGCATTTACTCTGTCCATTATAGTATACATAGCCTAGAAGTTTGGGTAATAAAGTATTCCTTATTCTAGTTCAGCTTTTTTTTTATTCTAAACTCTATTACTAATATTTGTGCAAATACTTTTCCTACAAGATGTTTTGGGAAATGGCTGCTATTTCCTATTGCATACATATTAAGCAAGAACTAGGGCCATGAGCCATTTTTTTCATATTTGTATTATTGTATTCTGCACTACCATGAACCTAGAAAAAAATAACCACTCAGGGAATGATTGTCAACACACAAAAAAATTAGTAAAGTCTTTTGTCTATACTTGACTCATAAACAAACACTAATAAATTTGCAGAGGACTACACAGATAACACATTGTAAGGTGTAGGGGGTTTATAGTGTGAAGTACCTTTTGAGTGTTGGATCAGGGCAGATCAGAATGATACCTAGGACCCAGCCATAGAGGATGCCAGAGGAATTTACCTCCAGGAGTAAGTGATCAACATGGAGTCACTGTCAGTCAATGAGAGAAAGAAGTCATAACTGACATGTGACTTAAACTTTAAATAAACATACAGCAGGAAACTGAGCAAAAGGAATCAAAGCCAATATCTTGGTTTGTAGTTTGGTGAAAGCATAGAACATTTGAAGAAAACCAGAAATGTAAGTACCTATATAATAGAGAAAATATGATTGCAAGTATGATTTTTAATAAATATGATGTGTAGTGAATGGAAGAGAATGTGAACAAGAGTCGTTCTTACAGACAGAGGGAGGAGGAGGCTATTTCAAGGAAGCAGGAAGTGCACAGGTACATCACACTCAGAATATGTGAACCGTCTTTGTAGAGGAGTGCACAGGCACATCACACCCGTGAAGGTCAGGTTCTCAGAAGACTCCTGCACTGAGAGCTCAGGAAACCACTGGTGGGGTAAACTCAGCATGTTTGTGCAGCAGAGGGGATGGAAACCTTTTTTCAGTGAGCCAGGACAGAGACGGAAAAGAGAAGTTAAAGAAATTATTTTCAAATCCTTGGGGGAAAAAAAAAAACATGGTCAAATGGATCTTGACAACTAAAGGATTGAAAAAAAACAATAAAATGGTTTTTCAAATACAGTGAATAAATATAATGGAGAGAATGAGATTAGACATGCAAGAGAATATGACTGTACCCAAGAAGAGGCAAACAGCAGCCTGAGAGACCTCATGTAGAAGGGAATGAGGAAGCTGCTACCTGTCTACCCAGCGATTTGGAAGTGGAGTGAAGTTAGAAACCGTAACATTAATCTCTTCGGAAATGATTCCACTCACAGTCCATTGGGAAAAGGGGCGTACAGAAGTAGATGTTAGAAAGAAAAGTACTTAGCACCCCCCAGGCATGCTTCTGCTTGCCTTCCTTTGAGCTTGCTCCTTTAATAGTTTCTGCCTTGCATGCTCAGAAAGCCATGTCCTTCCTCACAGACGTTAAGATGTCTAGATGTCTGGCACACAAGGAACAAGGTGCCAATGGTCTTTCTATTAGCTTTTGGGACTCCCACATTGTGGGACACATTATCTAAATTAGACCTCTAAGTATGGTCTGACGTAAGACTCTAAGACATTGTCCTACTTACTGTTTGTCGTCATTTGCATATATCTCTAGTTCTTTGTTTTCTTTACTTGAAAGGCTCTGATGTGACTCTAGTTTAAAATATTCACTATAGTTTACATTTTTCCATCTCTAAGAGAGTATTTCTATCTTTTGGACTCAATATTTAGTTATATGAAAATGTCTAATGAATCAGCCTACATTATTTCTAATAGAAATTTGTATATAAACTTGAGACTGGAAAACATACCAATTGCCTGCAGGTTTCTTTGAGCACCTGACAACATAGAAAGTGAATAATCTCTTTCTGTGTTTCCTAGTTCCTAGTGCAATTCCTGTAAAATAAATCCATCAAAAATTTTATCATTGTAAACAAAGTCAATATAATTATTCTGTGAGAGACAAAAATGTTGTCTTCTAAACACATTTAATATGAACATTACATGTATTTTAATTTTTACTTCAATCTTACTATATTCTAACAGACACAAATTATGAGAGCACATGTATATTAATCATCTCTACTCCTCATCTGACTTATTTAGTGTACATACATGCACACATACACACGCCCACACACACACATACACATACACACACTAGTCACAATGACCTTGTAAAGTAGGTACCACTATCTCCACGCTAGAGATGAATAAACCAAGGAACACAGTGGTTATACAGTGGCCGCATTCACATAGATGCTCTCTCTACACTCCCATAACTCATACCACTGCATTCAAATGACAAAATGTGGGTTTGGAAGTTTACATGTTATGTACCATTCAGTCTACGAGAGTCTATCATGTAACCGTGACCTAGTTTATCCTCCTCGATTCACCCACCTTGTCTCTGAGCTCCAGCTACTCATCTTGGTTACCTTCCCTTGCTGCAGGTAGGTGCCCTGAGAACAGCAACTTAAGGGTCTTCTCTGGCTCCCAGTTCTAGGGGGACACAGTCCATACTGGTAAGGAAAACTTGGCAGCAAACAGAAAAGGCCTAGTGGCAGGCACAGATGTTTGGCTAGTCACATTTTATCTGAAACCAGGCAGAAGGTAGTGGGACCAGGATATAAAAACCAAGAAGCCCACCACCTGGGACCCACTTTATCCAGTGAGATGCCACCTCCTGAATTATCCACAGCCATCACAAACAGCCCCAGCATCTGGGAACCAAGTATTCAAACAAACGATCTCATGGGAGACATTTCACTGTTCCCCACAATGCTTTTGGAAAGAGCCTTTAAAACCAGATCTGGAGGCACACATCTTTAATCCCAGCACTTGGGAGGCAGAGGCAGGACGATCTCTGAGTTCAAGGCCAGCCTAGTCTGCTGAGTGAGTTCCATGACAGCCAGGGCTACACAGAGAAACCCTGTCTTGAAAAACTGCAATAAAATAAAACAACAGTCTTTACACATATCAGGATTCATATTTTCTACATTTTTATTTGTTATATACTAAGAGTTAAAGTTCATCTTAATAACCTAACACCACATTATTTTCCAAAGTGATTACTTAAGCATGTCCAAA